TATATATATATAAGATGTACCAAGTGATATTTGCACTTCCAGTTTATATTCCTTGTTGCTATTTTGAAATGACATAGTTTTAGCTTTTCATTTTTTTCTTTATTCAAAATATAGTCTTTTTATCTTTTTTTCTATTGTAAAGGAGGGATGACCGACACAGTTGAAAATCATGTTATTTTAGAAGGAGGTGAGTTCTTTGACGAGGACCCTACAATAGGTCGGGGTGTTCCCACTGACCCAGATGGTGAAATTGTGTGGAAGCCCTTGCAGCCTGTATCTCTAACTCCAACAATTCTTAATGCTGTTAAAAATAGCATTTCCGAGACTACAGCTAGCTAAGTGGAACTAAAAAGGCACACTTGTTTATTCATTTGTACTTTGCATTAGTGCATTCAAAGGAATGACTATGACCATGTGATGATATCTGAAAATATACGTGGGGGTCTTTACAACATTTTATACTTGTTGCGTTACAGTTGGTACTAAGTCAAAAAAGCAGAAGGATACAAAATTATGCTCTACTAACGTCAAAGCATACTTAAAAAAAAAAATGCCAATGCAACAGCTGTTAATGAAAAGAGCATTTCATATTTTTAAAAATCTCTTTGTTCTATAACACGCTTATTACGAAACAGAAAAAAAATGTCTTACAATATTCGAAAACTGAAATACTTCGTTGATGACATCGATGGAGGTTTGCGAACAAATCAGCTCATAGCTGAAGATTATTTTTTAGCTGAGGACGATCACGAATTGGGCGAAATGATGGGTATGATGATGTCTCAGGCACATTATAGTAGCTTTTGGGGTGTGGCGCGTGGTGAGTTGGCAACCAAGGCGGTGCATGCGCAGGAAAAGGAAAACCTTCGCTTGTCATGGACAAGCGGGACAACACCATTGACATCAAATACATTTTTTCGTGAGGGTTATGTTCACTTTACCAAAGGAAACTTTCTATCGAACATGCCGATCATTGGCCGTGCACTGTCTATGTTCTTTCAAAAGAAGGTTATCGAGTCATTGGTGGTGCGAGAAGGCAAGGTTGTTTTTCGTGATTTGGGATACAACTGGCAGCTTGGCGTTCATTAATTCAGGGATTCCCTTTAACTTTTCTGTGTCACTGCGACGAACTTTCTTTTGAGTTTCTTGTTCATACACTGAATTGATGTTTCAACTTTTTCTAAGAAATTTTTTTTTTTTAAAGTAATGCCATTCCCAATACTCAGCTCATTTCTACGTCTACCATTTCATTTCATAAAGGGGATCCCCACACGCTAGGAGGGTTGTCGAGGATGAGTCTGCGTGATCCTGGGAAAGCACCCGATGGGTCGAATATCGCGCTGTTGGATACCGCCGGGTATGCATCCGATTGCAATTTTTCCGCCCTGATTCCCCAGCATGCGATGAAGCCGTACCGTTTGCTCGCCACGATGGAGTTGATTCAGGCCCTTGACATTACAGCCCATTGTCGAACGGTGGTCCCGCCGTTGGTAAAGCCGGGGGTGTTGGCCCAATACCACGCCGAGGGCTATTTAGCGAATTTGGGACTGCACAACTGCGGGAGTTGGCGGTGGGGCCCGGAAAGCTCCAAGGCGGTTTTCTCCGGCGATTGCCCCCCTGCGGAGGGGTTGGTGGAGCACGCCTTGGCGATCGCGAGCGGGACGCTGATGGGGGCAGTTCTTCTTAATAGTGGACAGGTCAACGTGGCGATGCATTGGGGAGGAGGCATGCATCACGCCAAGTGCGGTGAATGCTCGGGATTTTGTTATGTGAATGATATCGTGCTAGGGATTTTGGAGTTGCTGAGGTGTTATCCGCGGGTGCTGTATATCGACCTGGATATGCATCATGGGGATGGTGTGGATGAGGCTTTTTGTCAGAGTGATCGCGTGTTTACGTTGTCTTTGCACAAATTTGGGGATAGCTTTTTCCCAGGCACTGGTCATCCTCGAGATTGCGGGTACGGCCGCGGCCGTTTTTACACTATGAATCTTGCCTTGTGGGATGGCATCAATGATTTTTATTACATTTCCATCTTTAAGTACGCACTGCATCGTATTGTTTCACAGTATCATCCAAATGTAATAGTACTTCAATGTGGCGCCGATTCTTTAGCAGGGGATCGATTAGGTCTTTTCAATCTCTCATCATGGGGACATGGAGAGTGCGTGCGGGAGGTGAAGAGCCTGGGTCTCCCACTTCTTGCGCTTGGTGGAGGTGGATATACAATTCGAAACGTCGCGAAATTGTGGGCCTACGAGACAAGCATATTGTGCGGCTTTCCCATTCCCGTTCATACCACCATACCTTTTAAGGAGATGCCGTGCACGGGGTGGCTTTTCGAGGACAGCCCCTTTCTCCTTGTTCCAAGGGATGAAAGTCATCGTGTGCCTCCTGTATACCATCCTCAGGAGGCGTATCAAATTATTTTAGATCAGATCAACCGCGGCGTGTCAAAGATTGGAGTTGGTTCTCTACAGAATCATTTAGCATCTGTTGTAAAGCATGAAGAGGATGAAAGGGAATGCTCCATTAGGAACGATACCAGACACGATTAGTGAGTGAGAGGAGAGTATGCGTCCAAGAAAACTAATTTATACATACATGCATAAATACGTGTATTTGCCGATTTTTTTGATTGAGAGAAATTCACCATACAACGCGTGTACGCACGCATAGATCATTACTTTAATCAATTTATATACATTTCATACATCCATATGGTGCAAATTGTGTGCATTTTTTTTTGAATTTTTACAATTTTCCCCGAAGTATGTTGAATTTATACGTTTGTGGTCCTTAGATTTTAACTAGTTCATATCGTTTTTCTTTTTTGGAAATTATACAGCTCACATATTTATCCCATATTGAATGCAGAACGCGAACCCAGAGTGTGTGGGGCCGGAAAGTGCGCAGGCCGGAATAGCCCCTTCCTGCCAGGGCTGCCCTAACGCGGCCCTTTGCGCGTCCGCACCCAAAGGGCCGGATCCTGACGTTAGCCTTATTCGAGAGCGTCTAAAAGACGTAAAACATAAAGTGATGGTTATAAGTGGGAAAGGTGGGGTGGGAAAAAGTACCTTATCCAAGGAATTGGCATTTACATTAGGATCCCGCGGGATCAATGTCGCTTTGGTGGATTTGGATATCTGTGGTCCATCCCTTCCGCGGCTTACCGGGGTGCGAGGGGAGGATGCCCATCAAAGTTCCGGGGGTATCGAGCCGGTATTAATTGACAATAGCGTGACCATGATATCGATGCACTATTTATTGGATAATAAGAACGAGGCGGTCTTGTTTCGAGGCTCGAGGAAGAATGGAGTCATCAAGTTGTTCTTGAAGGACGTCATTTGGGGAGAAGTCGATGTCATGCTGGTGGATACCCCACCTGGAACCTCCGATGAGCATATCACATTGAGCAATATCTTCCAGCAAACTGGCGGTGTTGATGGTGCCGTTCTGGTGACTACCCCGCAACGTGTGGCCGAGGTTGATGTTAGACGTGAGGTAAACTTTTGCGAAAAAGCCAAAATTCCAGTACTAGGCATTGTAGAGAACATGAGCGGTTTTGTTTGTCCAAACTGTAAACATAAGAGCGAAATTTTCCCGAAAGAACGCACAAAAGAGAACTTGATTGAGGGAGCTGGCGTCCGCCTTAGTCGTGAGTTTGGCGTTCCTTTGTGGGGAGCCATTTCATTGGATCCTCATTTAATGAAAGCATGTGAGGAGGGAATTGCTCTTTCAGAATTTGTCGAGCAGCATGAAGAAGTACAAGAGAGCTTGACAATAAAGGAACTTAACGTAATAGTTGACCACTTAATTTCAGCCCTGGGCTTAGAAGTGTGCTAAAAATTCGTGGTAAAGGTGTGAATATAGAGTTACACTATTTGAAGAATGGAGTTATCTGTTTTCCTTTTTTTCTGAATCTAGAAATCCTTGACACTACTTATGAACAAATCATGCATTTTAATAACGCATAATGACTATATTTTCACTGGATATCTTTTTTAAAAAGATGATTACTTAGTATCTTTTATTTTCATTATTATGATTTTTCCTTTTTACTTATGCTATATCTGTTTTATGAATTTTCTTATTGTAGTGAGAAGAGGGTTATTAAGATCCATCTGAACGAAATCCCTTGTGTACGCATTTACTTGTCCCATAGAAGGAAACAGTGACTTTGTTTCACAGAATAATACTCGACCTTATTGAAGGACGTTCTGTTTTTTTTGTTGCTAATTTTAAAAGCTTTTAATAGGCTTTTTACCATTACACCTTTTTTTACAGCAATACATGTATTTTCTAATGCATATTATTATTGCTTGCTATTATTAGTTCTACTACTAAAAAATTTAAGTATTGCAACATACTAAAGTTATGAACAATCTGTCTTTTCTTACACTTGATGTAGTTGTCTAAGGTAATAGTAATTCTCAATTGGGGTTGAGTATTGAACACATTATCATACCAAGTAGTAACAACTTCTCCTTGGCTAAATAAATCTAATTATACCTACAATCGACTTTTCTGAGTTATTATTTCCATTATTATTATTATTACTGCTACGATTAATTTAGTTCATTGCTATCAGGGTTCTTATCTAAATCATGTATTTTTAATTTCCAATTTAATTATTTAGTCTTGTAAAACACGATTATTCGGTAGCGCGTTTCTGCTTTTTTTTGTGTTCCTTATTTGGAATGTGGACATTTTAAAGGGAATGGACTTATTACAAATAATCAGATAGACTAAATACCGTTTGGGAGGTAGGCTAATTGATCCCTGTCTGAATCAAATACTTGTCGCTTTAGTTATCCATAACTTTGCAATTCAAATAGTGTTCGATATATGCTGGTGGAAGACTTTTCTAGTGCGTGTCGAATTAGTCATCGAAGGTACCGTGAATGCGTGTGGTTGGTTAAGTATTATCACTCTTCCTCTTTTCCCTTTTTAAAGGAACCATTACATACTCACGTTAAAATCATGAATGCTGTTTGTTTGCATTCTTTTTTATTCAACTCGCGTGCGTGCACATAGGTTCGTTTCACTTCAATGAGCGCCGGTGCTTTGATAATAGTAAAGTAATAACTTGCTTTTCAAAATCTATCGAATTGGAGAAACTTAAAAAACTGTATTGCATGATATAAACCAATAACAACAATGATACAAAAACTATATATATATATAATATTTATAAATTACTTAGAGGGTCATGACAATACTCTTAAGATTCTTCCCTTTGGCCAATGCTTGAAATTTTTCAATAATTTTATTTTATCTTTTTATTTCTTATCTTTTTTCTTAACGCTTTATTTTTAGTTTCAATTTTTATATATCATTACATTCAAAAAATTTGAGCATTCTAAAATATTGTCTTATTGCAAAGGTAAAATTAATATCCATGGCATTAGAAGGAATGGAGTTTACCACAAAATCATATCTAGATCAGAAACCTGGAACATCAGGGCTGCGTAAGAAGGTTTCGGTTTTTGAGCAAGAGAACTATATCGCCAACTTTGTGCAAAGTACCTTTAACGCTTTGCGCCTCTTAAACAGTTTTCCGGAGGTTCTTGTGGTTGGTGGTGATGGTCGTTATTACATGAAAGAGGCAATCCAAATTATTCTGAGGGTCGCCATGGCTAATGGTGTGCAATCAGTGTGGGTTGGTCACAAGGGTCTGCTTTCAACCCCCGCCGTATCAACCGTAATACGGAGGCGTTCAGGCGGATTTAAAGCCCAAGGGGCCTTCATTCTCACGGCGAGCCACAACCCCGGCGGCCCCGATGCGGACTTTGGCATTAAATACAACACCGCGAACGGTGGGCCCGCCCCAGAGAAAGTAACGGAGGTGATTTATAACGAAACGCTTAAGATCAGCACCTTGTACCTGAACTCCTCACTTCCCGAGGTGGATCTCACCCGCATAGGGGTCCAAACCTATGACCATTTCACCGTCGAGGTTATCAGCTCTGTAGAGGACTACATCTCTTACATGAAGGAGATTTTCGACTTTGACGCCATTGGGTCCTTCCTAAGTCGCCCTGATTTCACAATCCACCTTGACTGCCTCCATGGTGCAAGTGGACCTTACGTGCAGGAGATCTTCCACACCTGCCTGGGGGTTCCTTTAGCCTCATTGCATCACACCACCCCGCTTTCCGATTTTGGGGGTTATCACCCCGACCCCAATCTCACATATGCGCATAACCTTGTGCAAGTGATGGGGCTACTGCCAAATGGTTCCATTGATAGGAGTAGAGCGGGAGAACAGGTGCCAAGCTTTGGTGCGGCCTTTGACGGCGACGCGGATCGCAATATGATTCTGGGGTCTCGTTTCTTTGTTAATCCCTCTGATTCACTAGCGATTCTCGTGGCAAACGCCGAGGTGATTCCTTTTTTTCGGAAAGCCGGGGGCCTTAGTTCGGTCGCACGTTCCATGCCTACAAGTTGCGCTGTTGACCGAGTCGCTCAAGAAAGAAATCTCAGATGCTTTGAAGTTCCCACGGGCTGGAAGTTTTTTGGTAATCTCATGGATAGCAAGACCGTTTTTGGTGGTGAGGACTACAACCCGTTTATTTGCGGGGAGGAGAGCTTTGGCACGGGCAGCAACCACATTCGTGAGAAGGACGGTGTGTGGACTTGCTTGTTTTGGTTATCACTACTCGCATCCAAGAATGATCCCGGTGTCAATCCAAGCAGATCGCTGGTGGGTGTTCAAAGCATTGTGGAGCAGCACTGGGCTTTGTACGGGCTCAATTACTATACGCGGTATGATTACGAAAATGTTTCTGTAGACAGTGCAAATACTGTTATGGAGAACATCTTAAGCAAGTTACCAGAGGAAATTCCTTGTCTGGACGGCAAGCGCTGCTGCATTGTGGACAGCTTTGAATACTGTGATCCTATAGATGGGAGTATAACTTCCAAACAGGGTGTGCGGGTAGTATTTGAGGACAATTCTCGTTTTGTGTTGCGACTGAGTAGCACTGGGACCTCAGGTGCTACAATTCGACTTTACTTGGAAAAATATGTGGGTCCGGCTTTTGTGACCGATAATTTACGAAAAGGAACACTCCCACCCTCCTCTGAGGGCTTGAGAGAGTTGATACAAATTTCGCTTGATGTTTCCAAAATCCCTGAGGCTACAGGTCGTGATGCACCCACTGTTATTACATAAGACTTGTTGCATTGATTATTCAAAACTGTAATGTGTAGCTTTTATTTATTTATCTCAAAAAAAATTGAGGAATTTACCCAATTCTACATTTATACCGGTCTTTTTTTCAAAAAAAACGTAATTTTTCTTTTTTAAAACACATGTAATATTTTAACTTTGACTATAGGATCGAAGTCATCTAAGATGCTTTTGTTTCATTACTCTTTCTCCTCTACACATTTATTTTTGAAATTTAGAAGGTAATATCAACATAGGATAAATACACTTACAAATTTTTCACTTCCCGTTTATATATATGCTAAAAAAAAATATCCAACAAAATCTTCAGAAGTTTACAATTCCTTTTCAAATATGCACATGGTTAAAATACATTAAATTCTAAATACGCTATATTTAGTTATTAAATTATTAATATTAAATTTCATACTGCAATAATATTATGTTCGGAATGGAGAAGGCCAGTCTTGATGAGGCTTATTGGAGTTTTACCGAGTGTGCAAGGGCTGATTGAGCTGCACGACGTGTTACAGACGGTCGCCCCTCTGACAGCAAGTGAGGAGCGCTCTCAGGATTGATACACGGTAAGGTGTGCTGGGGCCTACGACAAGGAGAGTTGAGGATCGCACAGCGGAGATGACAGGCAGTCTTGCAGGGTGTGATTCTACACTCGAAAGTGTGGACAATGGTCCCATGCACGTATTGATGCTCAGGGGGAGAGGGGGGTCCGGCAGACATGGTGTTATGGAGAACAGTAATTCATCTGATGTGCTTTATGGTACCGTCGATGTGGAGCAGGACGAATACGAGGAGAACGGGTTTCAGCTATGCGATGGATTTCGTGTGGTATGGGATAATCGGTAGCATATTAACAATACTTTAGAGTACGGCTGCTATATAGGCATTTCACGCAACAAGCTACCTGCAAAGTTCATCAGCGCGATGCATAAACCATATCAACAAACGTTGCTGCAACCAGATCGTGTGTTTTTAGAACTCTTCGATATGAAATTATCGAAGTTGCACAATTTCGGTGGAAGGTTGTAGAATGCCGTGCGTGAGGCGTACAAAAACGTGGAGAGCTATCGCGAGTCTTGGCTTGTGCAGTTTTCACCTCTCTACGTGTTGACTACTGTAAAAAGAACCTTTTTTTCTTAGAACATAAGTATACCGAGTACAGGGATGGGTCATATCCATGTGGATGGAATCGAACACGCAAATGGAGTGAATATAGTATAGGATACTCAAAAAAATATATCTAAAAGGTTTTATCATCAAAGATAAGACACTGAAAAGCCGAGTAAAGGGATGCATGCGTAAAACCCCAATGAGCTCTTTAGGTCCCCGATCCGAAGTTTATGTGTTTCATATCAATACTGCTGTAGGCTAATGGAGCACTAC